TAGTTCACAGAGAAAATGCGCCTTCTCAGTTATATACGTTCTCTGATATAAGGTTGTAGCAGCCGTTAAAAAAAAAAAAGTTACATAAATATGTATGTTTATACTATAATTATTTTTCTTCGGTCATGCTGAAAGTTTAGTGTTGTATATGGAGCCTTTTGGCCGGTTATTACAAGTAAAATAAACGTTTATTTTTCCTCCTACACCTTTCGACATTCGCGTCTTTCTCAGGGAATCTTTATTTATAAATAAATACGAAAAAACATATACATACAGTATCATATCAAGAGGACCCCGTTTCAAAGTGATATTATTTATGTTATGTTTATTTATTTACTTAAAAAACCTTCAATTAAAATAAAGTTAATTCTCTTAAAAAAATCCATATTGGCCCAAGTTTAAAGCCCAGGAGAATACTAAAAAAACTCAACAAATTTTCAACAACGCAAACGCAAATGAAATATTTTCCTTCGAAGAACTGTCCAAATATTTACATTGGCAAAAAATTAAGATATCACATGTACGGAAAATTACAATAAAAAATAGCAAAAATCAAGTAGACATGGCAGTAAAATACGACTTTATGCAAAGCGAGGAGAAGTTGAACCTAATGAAAAAAATGTTCAATGGTCAACCATGAAACACTGTGAATTGCCTAAAGCTTACAAGGGAAAAATACCTTTAAAAAAAAGAAAAGTGGATGATATTCAACAACTGATTAGTAAACGGTAATACTGAATTTCATGATTTTCATAATACAATTAAAGAAATATAGAATAAACGTTTAAATTTTCAATATATATTATGCTTTTATGATTTACTTTAAACCGGAGACGTGCAGTTTTCGCGGCTTAACAATCTGAAATATGCTACTCTTCCAAGCGAAAATCTGAAATGTGCTAGTCTTCCACGCAAAAATCTGAAATGTGCTAGTCTTCCACGCAAATAACGAAATGTACTACTCTTCCACGCAAAAATTTGAAATGTGCTAGTCTTCCACGCAAAAATCTGAAATGTGCTAGTCTTCCACGCAAATAACGAAATGTGCTACTCTTCCACGCAAAAATCTGAAATGTGCTAGTCTTCCACGCGATTAGTGAAATGTGCTAGTCTTCCACGCGAGAATCTGAAATGTGCTACTTTTCGACGCGAATAATGAAATGTGCTAGTCTTCGACGCGAATAGTGAAACGTGCTAGTCTTCCACGGTAATTTGAGATGTGCTACTCTTCGTTGGGAGCGACGATATATGCAAATGAAACCCAAAAGCAAAATCAAACCACCAGGCACTTGCCGTGTTCAATCGTCCGCCATTGATCTACTCTGCATGCATCACATGCAATTAACAATGCAAGAATATGCGATAATTGCAAATGGAGCGAAATTCAGGCAACAAAATTGGCAAAAAGTAATTAATTAATTACGGCATTTTAATGTGCTTTCCAACAGAAATTCCAAACGAGATTATTGATTGAAATATGCAATCGCCTTTAACTTTTTTTGTATATCTTTTATTTTGTTGGGTGCATTCTGCCTGCTGGCGAAAACTGAAAAGATGTGCAGTAATTTCGATAGTTGCATTCATTTTTATACACACGTATTTACGTTTACTCACTTAATAAACATGTTTACATTAGGGTGCATCAGGAAAAAAAAAATTATTTTAAGACTTGCCCAAAAATATTGCGGGAAAAATTAAGACTTACGTGAGCTAGACCGATTTGAAAATATCTTCAAAAATCTCAATATTTTGTTTCCGTTGATAGAATGTATAAACATTTTTATTCAGACCTTTTAAGCTTGAACTCTTCCATCATCTGGGGCAATTTTTTAGAATAAATATTTATGAAAACAAATTTGACCTATAAAAAGCTCAATTTTGCGAGGTATTTTCAAGTGGGTCCAGCTCACGTAAATCTTAATATTTTTCCGAAATATTTTGGCGGAGGTCTTTAAATACATATGGATAATAAATTTTATTTTTACGATTGCAAAATAGTATTGTTTTTTTTTTGTATGGAGGGTGACGCACCTTAATGTACATATGTATGCATGTAAGCATCGTCTCATGTGTACATCAACTGGCAACGTTGTTGCTGCCACTGCTGTTAGTGAATACTTTAGCAATAATTATGGCAGCTTCAAAGGAACTTTACACAGTCCATAAAGGATAGCCGCATGAGTGTTAGCCAATAAGTTCTGTAAATAGGATTCTGAAATGATTTAATGTTGTTTTACCAGGGTTTTCTCCATTAGCGAAAGCCGGAAGTCGGACTTAAAGATACAGCATCCCGGACCTGGTGATTTGAAGTTCGAAGGTTATTTAGAGATTTAAAAGGCATCTCCGATAAAAATAGTTTCAAACAAAAGTTACGTATTTTTATCCTCAGAATTCGAATCTGTAGTAAAAACATGTATGATTTCGTAGCTTGTATTTTTGCTTTTTTTCAATAAAAATCATTCTGCTCCATTTTAGAGGGGGTGCACAGGTGATGTAGGACACCCTATACATATGTATGTATAGTTTTTAAATCCACTCTTGGGGCCACTACCCTCAAACTGATCAAAGGACTTATCAAGCGAATCTCTTATCTGACTTTTGCCGCATTTAAGTGCATTTCGTGAAGCCCAAAAACAAGCTGAGCTCGTTAATCAATAACGCTATAATGAGGTAGTTAGTAAAAGTTCCGTCATAACTACAGACACACTCATATGCACAACTCAGCGTGCATCGAAAAAATACAAAGATTCAATCATTGCTATTGATTATTGTTGTTGCAGTCAGCAACTTTTCGCCACTTAGTCAACACCGGAGCGATGCATCCACACAAGCACATAAATAGATAATTACGTATATACCTATGTACATACATATGTATGTATAAATTTGTGTGTGAGTGTTGCCACATATTTGTGATGTAATCAAAAAATTCATGCAAAATTCATAAAAGGATCGCTTACACAATCGGCGAGTTATATGTATGTAGAATGGCTGTTGCAGTGCTGCATTAACGATATGCTGCCACATTTACACCTACGAGTGCTACATATAATATATGTGCGTACATATGTATTTGCACGTGCGCATCTGCACGCCCGCACGCGCGCAAAATAAGAAGAGCCACGATGGCTATGCAATAATAATGAAAACAATAAGCTCAACAGAGGAAAATCGTGGCTGTCGGTATGTATGTACATATGTATATGCATGCGTAACTGATAATGTATCACGTTTCTGCGGCCTACACAGATATATGCATGTATGTATGGGCTTATATACATACATACATATGTACATATATATGTTTGCATATTGATGCATTTTAATGTCGATTTGTTGGATATACATAAATGCATGTGAAGCCGTTAATTGAAAAGCAAAAATTTAAATTAAAAAATATTCACTCGAAACGATCTGTGAGTGTAGTTTCAAAAAAATATACCCAACCAG